AGGTTACCAGTTTAGTAGCAGTCAGCCTAGGCCAAAATTTTCCCTACCTTAGATTTGTGACACTAAAAACCCTGTCAGCAGGACTATGGTAACCACAGGTATGGTCATGTTGCAGGATTGGTTGCTGTGAAAGTACCTGAAACAGCAGCTGCAGTTGCTTCATGACTAGTCAACATCAAAGCCCACAGCTGTTGCCCAAAGCCCATCTTCAGACTTTTTGTTTGTGTCCTAGCTGTGGGATCAGGCTCCTGATCCTCAGCCTGAACCATTGAGCTGTACAACTTACGCCCCAGACCATTATACCTATCAAAAATTTTTAAAAGCAGGTGCTTTTACATTGTCAGAAATAGCTACCACTGGGGAGAAAGAGAGAGAGAGAGAGAGAGAGTGTGTGTGTGTGTGTGTGTGTGTGTGTGAGAAAAGGTGTCAGGAGAGGTAGAGAGGAAGGAATAGTGAATTTGATTGTGTATGTTGTCTTTTTTTAACTCTATCTACAGTACCAGTACACCTGTACAGACTTTACTTCATGTCAATCTTTTTCTTTTTTCCCCTCCCCTATCTGCAAATGTAGAGCAATGGTTTCTATATGTACTAACTCCTGGTGCTCTATTCCTGGCATTCTATTACCTAAATGCCATAATAGAGTTGACTTAAATATAATACTATTGGGTTTTTTCAGAATTATTTTTCTCAAGTTATAAGAAAAAGTATTTCTGTCTCATGTTATTAGCTTCTAAGGCTACAATTGCAAGTAGTCTGGTATTTGGGAACTCTTTTGACAGAAGACATATCCAGTTTCTAACAAACTGAAGTGACAGACTTTCAAAAGTCTGTTCTTTAGTGATCAAATTTGACAATATAATAACTTTTTGGAAGGGTCTTCCCATCTCTTAAGTATGATCAACTCTTGTACATGGCAGTATAGTAGTAGTAGATGAGGTGGAGTAGTGTTGGAGAGGGTGCAATGACGTTTATTTTAGTGGCAATGGTGCCTTTCATGACTTCTGTCAACACTGCATGTCTTAATTCAACAAATGCTGAGCTCTGATGGCAGAAAAAGACACTAAGATAGAAGATTTGCTGCATCATGCCGAAATGCAAAGAAAACCTAGGGAGTGGGGAAAGTCACTTTTTTCCCTTCCTCCCAACAGTGAGTTTGCTATAATCATCAGAAACAGGAAATGAAGAACTTGCAGGAAAGAGAACCCTGCAGCAGGGAACATGGACTCCATTGCCATCTCCACAGCAAGCTGAATGAGATAAATATAGCCCCTGTCTTTCTCAAAACTAGTGACACTATCATGATAGACCAGAAAGTCGGGCAAGCAAGTTCAGCTTTTGAGTCAAAAGCTGAGACAAACACACAGCACCAAGCAAGCCTGCAGAAAAGGAGCAAAAAGTCCTTGGCTCACAATTTTGTCACACAGTAAGGAAGCTGGACTTTGTAGGTGAAGGTTTATTGGAAACAGTTACAGTAATAATTATATGTGTAAAGATGCTTTAAAATAGAGTTGTCTGGAGTTCATTTATGGTCAGTGAGAAGTTGATAAGCTATATATTATTTGCTTCTGCCTATTTGTTTCCAGCTCCACATTTCTGTAAAAGAAGTTAATAGTGTGTCTCTTTTCCATGTAAATACAAGGATTCTATACAACTGTAAATGGCAAAATGGGGAAAGTAGCCTGGGAAATCTTGAAGCGGATGAAAAGCTCCATAAGGCATGAAGCTCCAAATTTTAAAAAAGTGTGAGTCCCTGGTCTAAAATAATTCTACAATAATGCTTTCTGTAAAATGTGCAGGACATAGGTACAATAGTGTAATATGGCATAAATGTTTGATTAACACTCACTTGAAATGTCCTGTAAAACTCATAAGCAACCTTGTTATCTGAGAATGATTCAGACATTCCTGTATATAGGGACAAACACAAACATTTAAGACGGTGCACAAGATGTGGCCAACTTCAGTAGCTTACAAGACCAAATTTTAAGGTATTTTGTTTTGAGCTAGAAAGCCCTAAATAGGTTGGGGAGACCTTGTCTCCCATTTTCACACAAGAACCTTTCTGCTTTTGCTATTCTATCACAGTTCTGGTCAACAGAGAAGGTCAAGATGGAGTCCATACAGCATAAAAGCGAGACGGTTAATAGCAAATGACAGGAGGAACCTCTGGAGCTCTAGAACAAACTTCCACTCCCAGTCCAAAATAGCCTGGGCCTGTTGACTTTCAGGACACAAAAAAGGTGTGTTTATTTAAAGGGGTTTTAGAGGTGAAAGTCGATTTGTGGGGCTGGGAATTTTGTGTTCTTTTAACTGAGCTTACAGATTTGTCTGAGGTGCAGCTTTCAGTGTGTGTGTGTGTGTGTGTGTGTGTGTGTGTGTGTATGTGTGTGTGTGTGTGTAAATCTAAATAAAATAAATCAAAAAGAGTCCAAATATCTGCCAATAAATTTTTGTATAATTTTTCTCTGTCTCTGCCCCTATCTGCATGGACAGACACAAACACAATATCAAACAGATGCTGGATTGTCTGCAGAAACCTATCTACATTGAGTAAATATGTTTGAGTTGCCTAGTCTGACAATATAAAAGGCTGTTTTCAGAGGCAGTACCCTGCACAGCTGAAGAATCTTGTATTTGAAATGAAAGACAACAATTAACAAAATGGCATGGCTAGAGCTGTGCACATTTCCCTGTTGTTACCTGAACTCATCTCAAACTGCCGTGGATGAGCAATTCTACCCATCCAATGCCAGTCCTAAGCCCAGATAAAGGATGAGAGTTAGCATCAGGAAGGGCATCCAGCTGTAAAAAACCTCTGCCAAATCATCATGATGGGGATCCAAGGAACAAACTCATTTCAAACATGACCAAGCAGTAAAAACAAAAGAAATAAACCCCCACAAACCACCTGTTTCATAACCCGCCTCAGAACATCCCAGTTGGACTGCATGGTTGAAGTAATGGTATTTGCTGTCTTCAAAACAGAAGACATTTAGAAATAACTGTGTTGTGTGTTTACAGTGATATAATCATGAATGTCCATGCTCAGATGGCCATTACCAGAGATCCATTGTTCTTCCTGGACTAATGACATAATATACACAGGAGCCTTAAAAAACAATTCTGAAGTTAAAATTCCAAAAAGCATACAGTAAGGACTTACTTTAACTTGTAGAGCCCTTCCCCAACTGTACAGCCTGTATCCACACTAAGGAGTGCATTTTCACACAAGCAGTCCCAGTACAGTGACACAGGCACTCATGTAAATGATTATTTAAGAATGTTAGTTGTGATGGCAGATTAAGGCCCTTGTCTCCCATTTTCACACAAGCCTTCCTTGCCCTTTCTGTTCCATTTATCCCTTGTGCTTGATAGTAAGGGTCTGGTTCTGTCTAAGACTAGGAGGGCCATGCATCTCAGTTTGACTGGGACAGTCCCAGATTCCGTACGCTGGCCCCAGACAGTTGTACAAAAGTTCCAGGCCACAATTGGGGCGGGGGGGGAGGGTAGAGCAGAATGGTGTGCCAGGCAGGTGGGTGGGCAGGCTATGTGGGGACTTCAGATATAGCATCTTAGATAGGGTGACCATACGTCCATCCACCTTGCTCCCACACAGTAGCAGTGGTGCCTAGTGCATCATGCCGCTCTGCCTCCCTGCTGTGGCATTCAAAGGTCCTAATTAGGTTGGGGGCCCCATAGTACCATTCATTGTACAAACACACAGGAAGACGTAGTCCTAACTTAACCTGAGATTGACATATTGTAATCTCTAGGAAGCACTGTCATTTCTGGAGCAGGAAGATCTCATTTCTTTCCAATTTAGTGCTGTCAAAATAGTCAAAACAACCATATTTTGGCCATCTTGCATCAGTCTGCTGGCATAAAATGGCCTCTAAATTGGCAGATCCAATCAACACAAGAATTTGCATGCATAAGAAAATCTTATGGTAGGATACAACCAGGAGAAAGGGGAAGTGGTTGCTGTGTCCTTAAACCCCAAGGTTCACCAGTTTCAAGAACATCTTTTAGCCAATATTAAGTGCAGCAGCACTAAGATTATCCTATACTGGGGACAAGGCCAGCAGCTGGACAGCCTCAGGACCAGTGGCAAGTCAAAGTCTGCACAAATCTAAAGTCTACTTTTACTTCTCCCCTCCTGAGCACCACTTGGGCACCATTCAGTTTTTGGTCCAATGATTTCAACAAGAGCAAAACTAAGTCCCTAAAACCAGAAGCAAAAATTAATTTTAGGCAATCACTTCCAAAACCACTGAAATATGTGCCTGGAATTCTTTCACTGTCCTTACAGTTGGAAATTTACAATGTTGGAGATGAGTGCAACCAAACTCCCTAAAAGTATTTACCTACTTACTCCCCACCTGTATAAACCAGTGGTATAACAAGCTGAGTAGGTGCCCAGGACAAACCCTGTGGGAGACTGGAAGAGGCCAGAGGAGCCTGCAGTTCTGAGAGTTGAGGAAGGGTGGGGGACATGGGGTGTGAGTTATGAGAGTGGAGTGGTGGGGAGCAGCAGACTTACCCAGTGAGGAATTTCTAAGCAGGCCTAGCTGAGCTGCCGCCCACATGCGTGCTCTGCCCAACCTGGCTGTTGCCCTTAAAATAACAGTGGCCAGAACTGTTTTGAAGATCCTGGTATAACAATGTTGCCAGGCTGTGGACTCCATGGGGGAGGGGGCTGATTCTGGCACCTAGGATGGGTGCCTCTCTCTCCCACCCCCACTTATGCTACCGGTATAGATCACAGAAGTCCTTAGTATGCCTACCAAAATAATCCAGGGCAGCGTAAAAATATCCAAGCTAACTCTGAATAAGGTACTGGAAGCAATGCAACAACATTAGCACAATACTCTACACAAACAAACATACATTGTTTCTGTGGGGCTAATTAGCCAAAATGGAGCAACATGCTATCAAGGTTATACTGCTTCTGGTATTCAAGCTAACTCACTCAGCACTTGGCCTCACCTTTTCTCTGTCAAGTTTCTATTTTTTCCATTGTTGGTGATTCTCATAAAGTGCTCTTAGGTCTTGCCATTGCTCCATCTTCTCCTGGGTTGGCCATGAGGTTGAGATCCATTAAACTGGCCTTCCAAGAAATAGAAGTTTGTTCTATCTTCTGCTATCCTAGCTAGAAGTAGATAACAAAACTATAAGGCCTAGTATTTGTAAAGCAGCATAGAAAATTTCAATATAACTTTTAAAATCATCTTAACAAATTTAGGGCAGATCCTACAGAGATTAACCTCTGGTACTAGTCATCCACAACTCCCATTGCCTTCAGCATAGTCCATAACATCTCACAACAGTTTCTCAGCACCTCTCAGGATTTGGCCCATTACCAAGCAATGAACTGTGAAAATAAAATGTTCTAAGTTATATTTTTGTCTTTTAATTGGTTGCAGAACAGAAGGTGGTTGAAGGCCAGGTTCTCCTCTCTTTACTCATGCTAAATAGTGCTTAACTCTAAGGGCACGTCTACACATTGTCCTACGTTGATAGCAACGTAGCAATCACATGTGACATAGCAGCAAATTTAACCGTGTGCTGCATGCACCCAAAAGGAAGTAACCACCCAAAAGGAAGTACTAAAGCACGGCAATGTGTAGATGTGCCCTAAGAATAGTAGAAAAGTTCCACTGGTATCAGTGGACCTATTTCCAAAGTAAGATACAGCTCAGCATGGGGAGCAGAACCAGGTTCCAGACAAGAACAAGGGAATAAGCTTATTCAAAGAACTCCTAGTATTGTTACACAGTGTAACAGGCATTCAGACATCACAAATTAAAGAAGCAGGAAAGCCAGTAGAAGCACTAGCAAGAGTGTAACCTTTCTGAGGCTGAGCTGTATTACCAAGGGGAAGCAAGCCACGTGTCTGTCTTTTGGCTCTTGTATCAGTTCACATACCTTTGAACAAAAGCTCTTTCTGAAGGGTCAAAAGGAGACTGGCTACCAATGGAAATATAACTGTCACAGAGGGATGTCTTGCTATTTCTGCAAGGGCTGTTGTTGTACTTAACATTAACTGCGCTTAACAACAGCAAGTCCTCTGTGATGCGATGAGCCAAACCCAACATTACTTGCTTAGGCAAAATGACCACTCATATCCACACAAGTTTTGCTTAAATTAAAAGGTACGGTAAACAGGATGTCATCCTTAAATCGCCTGTTCCTGCTCCCAGTGAAGTCAGTGATAAAAGTCTCATTATCACTGATAGGACAAGGTTTAGCTCCTGTCCTTAACTATACTCTCATATTATATCCATGGCCTCTGAAGGCACATAGATGAATTCAAAGAGATTTTGAGTATTTGCAATGCTAACTGGTATTCTGAGCTGTAGGGTCTTAGCTTCTCTCAAGATTTGGCCCAACATGAGGTTCAAGATGTAAGAAAAAAAACTGAGAAGGTACATACCAACCAATAAATTTTCAATAAGGTGTGTATGCTCTCCTTATAAGTATTGTGGCTACAACCCTTACTGTGTTGTACAGTAACAATTAGGCTGCAATTAATGTTAAGTACAAAGGACCCTTCCTCATCCTGACCCATTTGTAATTCCTACAAACAGGCTTTTGTCCTGTGTTGGAGTTGCTTAGCAAGGTCCTCTGACCTTATACATATTTCCAGTGAATTAATCTGCAGGTTTCAACTCCAGCTCAATGGAACTCTGCATTTACCAAGGCAGTGATTTTCAGCCAGAGTGCCATGGCACCCCAAGGAAATCTTGTCAAGAGTACCACAAGGTGCCACCCAATGTTAGCGCTGTGAGGTATGGTTTATAAGATAAACCCAGAGATTTCAAATAGAAATCCATAGCATTAAAATCATTCTGACCTGCCACGATCTTTCTTTCTTTTTTTCTTTCTGTCTTTGTTACTACAGAAAAATACAGCAATAGAGCAATTCTTCCTCTATTTGCAAAGGAATGAAAACTAAGAGCTGGCATTTTCTGAGGTGTGCCTCAAGTCTAACAAAGTTGAGAGCCACTACACTAAGGTATCCCTGATACAGGATTGGAGCCTAAGTCACAAAGCAAACAAGAAGGTTTCTCCTCAAATGCTACCTGCAGGACACCAGCCAAAAGCTGGAACTTGAAAATAATGTTAAAAGACATAAATAAATAAACAAAACAAATTAATAAGAGCACTTTCATTTTTTAAGTCTTGGGCAGCACACAGCTACCCTGAATGCAAATGGCACTCAAGTCTATGGGCATGTTACCCACCTTCCAGCTGTAGGGTGAATGCTTAGTTCATGTCAAGGATGTGTAACTGTAATGAAGGAGAAGAGCAGACGAGGGGAAGGCAGAGCTGAAGGAGGAGCAGAAGAAGGAAGGACGGTCTCATTTTCTATGTCAGACTACCCCAAATAGGTTAGTAACTGCCTCCAGCAGATAAACCTCTTCCAGACTCTAAACTCTTTGGGGCAGAGACGAGATCATCCAACACACTACTGGCACTATACAGACACATTAATAAATAAGCTTCCATATAGCACATGCCAAAGGTGAGGCCAGGAATGTGGAACAGGGAGAATTCCAGACACAAATCAAAATGCTTTTTAACCGCAAATTTGGCCGAATGAAATATAATTTATAGGCAGATATCCAACAGGCTGTCTAAATAAAAGTTGCCCGCCACAAGTCTGTCTCAGAATTGCAGAAAAACAACTGCTCTAAAACCAAGGAACCCCTATAAGTTATATTGCACCTTATATTTTTTATCTGTATATCTAGTATGATTGAGATGGTTTTCAGAATATAAACAGCCTTTCTAACATAGCCCCACTCTAATACCTACAATGCAAAAAACTCTGGATGTGATAGGTTTTACTGAACCATTAACTACCTCAAAAATGCAACATAAATTAAAGAATTGACTATTCATAGCTCCCAGTAGGCTATCCAGTAATTAATATATAGCTTAATCTACAACTTTCACTATTTTTATACGGTGCTAGCACTTTGGCCTGCAGCCCCATTGTTTTAATTGCTCTCGCTAAAGATAGAACTCTTCTAATGCAAAATAATCTGGTGAATTCTATGTCTGTATCTAGGTGAAACCATGGGTTCACGAGAGGGAATGAAAATAGCTCACAGTATTGTGAAACCTGCTTGCATTAAAAGAAAAAAAAAAGGTTTCCCAAACGTTAACATAATATATTTTTAAATGAACCTAGATCCACCAAAATAACTGCCTTCATTTTTTAGCATCAGGTTTGTTAGCTTGGTGAATATTTTATGGATTGTGCTTTGTTGGGATATTATTTTAAGGCAGAGTATCTACCTTTTGCAGGCCAAATGTTATCTTCCTTAAAGGAATATAAATCCTACACAATTTTGTTAGCACTTATACCAAAAGATGCAGGGTTTTTAAACTTAAATATTTAAAAATATATGGAACATTATTTTAATTCTCTGCAACTTCCAGGCATGACAAAAAGACTGTTACCAAAATCTTCATTGAGTGAAGACTGCAGGATTCAGTTCACAGATGGGAAACTTGGTTCAGGGATTATTTAATTTCATTATCAGCATAATACTGGCATATGCACATCAGCTGGTATTAATCACTGTTATTGCTTGAGGCTCATTCATTGTAATTAGAGTCTGATGGAACACTTCAAATTCAGATATTCAGGGAAAATATAGTCCTCCTGATTTATACATCCAATCTTATTTTAAGTTACATCACATGGCAGGTATCTGATCGATACATTATATATGATGCTTGTACTGGTTTCTTTATAGACATTTTCTACTGGGGACCCTTTTGCTGTGTCATCTTTCATGTCACAAGTGAACCCAGACAGATAAAGATGTTAACATGGCCCTGATAATATACAGCCATAAACAGCAAAACACAGTTTCAGATTTTGAGTAGAGGTCATTGCCTGACTGGTCTCCTGAGAAACATATGAGGAAGTTCATGCCGACATTTAAAAAAATATTGATTTGGTTATAGACAAGAAAAATAATTTAAAAAGCATGATATAAAACACTTTGGAAGTAAAACTGCATAGGTATACAAAAATGTTTGAATTCAAATTTATTCAAATCCATTTTCTAAAGCTATTAACCAGAATTCCTTATTTTGCTAGTTTTTCTTAATGAGGGAAAAAATTATTTTGTTTAAGATTTATTTAACTGTGTAAATCTTGTTGTTATTTTTGCTTTTGACAAAAACAGACAGGCACAAAGCAGCAGGCAAGATAGAAGAGAAAAGCTGGGAGAAGGATGGGTTTTTGTTGACATTTTCAGGACTTAAGATGGCTGGTGAATCATACACAAATGTTCTGGGCTGGCATGATGACCAGGACAGCCATTACTTGTCCCGTCTTTTCCCTAGTCTGGGATGTTACCTAGCTGGCCTTTGTACATCCCTTTCAGGCTGAACAGAGGTGGTCCCTCTCTTTACATAAGGCCTGATTTTATGACATGGAGCACCTCAGTTGACTTTGATGGGAAATACAGATGCTCAGCACTGCTGAAAATTAAACTCAGATTGTCTGAATTAAGTGGCACTAGGCTCCAAAACCCAGCCCCACCTATGTACATTTCAGATTCTTATCTTTGCCAACCTTTTCACTTAACTCAGGTTCTCTCCTCATTCATCTCACTTTTTCATCTTTCAACCTTTACGCAGGAAAAAAACTCTTGACTGAGGTTTGTAGGAGGTTTTTTTTTAAAACTCATTTTACTGTTTCAGTGTCCTCTACAGCAACTCAGCTCTCCTTTTTGTCTGAAATAATTCTGCCCAAATTCACCTACTTCCCTATTCCTCTGTGGTCATTTTGAAATTCTTGATCACTCACAAGCAGTAACAATGTATTTCCTTCTTTACCAAGGCTCTTGACACAACATATTGTACAACACCTTAACTTGAAGAAAAAGTTAAAGCTTCAATTCAGTATTTTTCTTTCTTTTTAAGGCAAATGTATAGTATTGTGCTGTAGTGTTTTTTATTGGTATTTCAGTCCCCATCAAGCTGCATATTTTTGGATCGTTACCAGACTCTTAAACCATAATACTATGATGCTGAGATAAGGAGTCTCCTGAACAATACCACAGGCTCTAACAACCCCCTTCTAATTGTACTCTTCTGGCACAGTTCTTTTGCAAGCAACATTGGATTCTGCTGGCATGCATCTGTTACTTTTCATTTATGAATCTCCATACCTTGGCTGAGCAATTTCATGTCAGTTATTTTACCAGAAAGTAGGAGGATCAACTTCATGATAAAATAAACCTCAAAATGCCTCAGACTAGGGGAGGGAATACATCTCTTCATGATTTGCTTTAAATCTGTCCCACAAGGAAATATTATCTCTTAGAAAGTGGACAGTTCTGTGGCCTGACCTGCTGACACTCCCCTTCTATATCCAGCTGTATAAGTGCAACAGATTTGGGCAAACAGAGGTCAGAGATTGAAAGAAATAAAGAGGAGTCATGCTCTTGGAGCAAACATTCATTGCATTGCTTAACTGTCTTACTAAACAAGCAGAAGACTCCCACATTCTCATGCCTTTGGTGTACAGCTGCCATTGGAAAGTTGCCCATTGCTACTAACCCCCTCCCATCTCTCTCAAAGAAACTTGTCTGAGCTACCAGACTGCTTCTGCTGGTGATATTTGCTAGAGCATAGATAAGTAATATCATTTAAAACCAAGTTAAAATTGCAAGACATTTACAATTCGTAGATATCCTCTGTGAAGATAGGTGGTACAATAAGTAACAGAAAATGGTGGTGTGCAGAGATGTCTGCATTTTAATTGAGAAGCCTCTGCCTGAGAGTATATAAATGACTTTGTGGTGATTTTCATAGTTCTAGGTATTGCCATACAAAAGGGTATTTTTGAGAGTCTCTTGCCTGTAAGCCTGTCAAATATATATAGTTTTGACACCATATAAATAATACATTAATTACTTTGTATTCTCAAGGATTAATACAGTCAACATTTTCAATGATGTGTGCACAAAAGTGTCCCCACCCTCCCCCTTTTTAAAGCATTTTAGGGCACTTGGGGGGGGGGGGTCTTTTTAGTTTGTCATTTAGGATGAAAGAGTTAATGTTCAAAGAGCTGTGCACTAGCACTTATGATTGAAAAACTGCACATATACATTGGAGCTTTATTTTAAGATCCTTTGAAAATTTGTCCATGGGCCTGCTACTTAGATATCCACTGTTGTGGCTCCATGGAAGGGAGAATTATCACCTTCAGCCACCACACTCATCCACATACAGCATCCATTTGTTCAAGGACAGAACTTCACCCTAAGAAATTAAGAAGCATCAGCAAGTAGCATCAGCAGCTCCTAATACAAAAATTGACCTTGGAAATAAAACAAGTTTTCCCCAAGACAAACTCTAAGCATAGCGTCTCATATTTCCCTCTTCATACTGTATTATGGCAAGTAATGTCTGGATTTTTAAAGGGGCATAAGGGTTCTCAAATCCCTTTGAATATCCCTTAAGCCCTTTGGTTCCTTTGAAAATCCCAGGCTAAATTTTATCCTGATAGCAAACACTTAGGAGTGTGAATGTAGCATACATTTAGGAGCGTAAATGAATGCTTCTATGAATTATTGTCCTCTTTGCAAGACTTGACTTTATTAAGTATAACATAAGCCTCACATTAAACATTCTCCTGAGCTAGGCTGTTTGGGTTTGTCCCTGATTCTGTCTCTTCTACTGAGTCTGAAGCAATCATTCTGTCTTTATGCACAGTCCTAGTCCTTAACAACATAGTGAGTCAGAAAAAATTAGCTCCTGTCCTAGAGTTTATTTTACTAAACCATACCATTTCTTACATTTTGTCTTACAAAACAAAAAAAGAGAATACAATTTTCACTTTGGAAAAGCAGATACTAAAAAATATAAGGGAAATCTAGCGTGCAACGGGCGTCTTGCATGGAAATTATATTTTTCACAAACTATAACAGATTTGTTTCTTAAATAAAACAATATAGCACAGCTCTCAGACAGAAGCATTTCCAGCAAGCCCATTGGGGTGTTAAGTCTTTTAATTTTAAAATAACTTAATGTTTTAAGAAGTATTCATGAGTTCTAGGCCAGTGGTTTTCAACCTTTTTCTATTTGCAGACCCCTAAAAAATTTTCAATAGATGCGGATCCCTTGGAATTGTAAGCATGGGTATTCACATACTTTTGATTGATCCTCATCTTTTGCGGACCCCTTAGACATAGTCTGCGGACCCCCAAGGGTCTGTGGACACAGGTTGAAAACCACTGTTCTAAGCCATCAGCATCTTTGTATAAATAAATTCTCTCAAATGAAAACACTCCTGAGAGATTTGACCATTAATCTTTCATAAAGCCCATTTTGTCTCAGGGGAATTTGGGTAAGAAAACTGAGCACTTCAAATACTATTGCTGCACTTAATACGACTATTAGCATCCCAAAACTGAAGAGCTGGATATGTGCCTTTCTGATCAGTCTTACATATGGCTACTTCCAAAAAAAACTTGACATGAAACACTTTATTAGACTTAAATACTACCGTTCAACATATACCTAGAATGCCCCTTATAATAACAATATTGTTTCTTTTATAGACTCTTGTGATTGTTGAGTTTGAAAAAGACATAAGATTACTTCATACAGCATTTCTTGTTTTGAAAACACAATCATGCAAATACCAAACTATGGGGAAATGCAGAAGTTTTTACTTATTCTAACAAAATTCCCATTGATTTGGAAGGGAGTCTTGTCAAAGCATCAAGTTTGTAATATCTTTATGTAACTGAATGAAGCTCCATGAGAAATTCTGTTTCTAAGGAGTTCCAACACCAGCTCTTCTGTATCTCCTCCCAGGTTAAACACATAAATAGGATAGCATCATTTTATGTACCAGGCACCCCACTGATGGAACACTTTGAATCCAAGTGTCAGAGCAAGTTTCTCATTATCTGAGTTCAAACCATTTGCAGCTGAAATCAAAGGGCTGGGAACTGTGTGGTTCACGACTGAGCTATAGCTTGTCACATTTAGGTCACTGGTTCAAATCTGGTTCATGTCAGCAATGACTGAAAGCTGTTCCAACCTCATGACAGCTCAGAGACCTGTGTTTGGGTTGGGTTGTCACAGTTCAGTGCCTAGTAAGTAGGTGTCACCATCATATTTAGCACCAGCTGGCACATCTGTTGGGAGTCTCAGCTAAGAGGTCAAAGAATAAGGTACGCCTCTTACCTCTGGAGGTGGTCTAGTTGCTCAGGAATGGTGTGGTGGAGGGAGGAAGGTTTCCACTCAGTCCCTGATCAATGGAGAAACAGAACCATTTCAGCTGGCAGTGCTGTCAGCCTGGCACCTTACACTAAAATTTCCTCTACAAACTAAAAATATCAGAGGAAGTCTGCAATCATTGCAGCTGACTTTTATGTTCATTTGTGATCTAAACAGCTGGATTAGCATGATGCTTGACCTTATTTTACATTACAGCCGGCACAGCTCTGTGAGTAGCACTTTTCCCTATAGGCAAAAAGGCTATAGTTTTAAGTGACAGTGTAGAATAAGTTGTGGATCCAGCCCTAATAAAACTACTGTAGGGGTACTAACCTAACTAAATATAAAGCTGAGAGTGCTTCTGACTCTGTCTGATAGCCATTCAAATGTATTATTTATTGGCTTTCCTACAGTACTCCTCATAGTAATATGTGAGCATCTGGCACACACGAATGAATTTATCCTCACAAAACAGAAGAGAAAGACAAATATTATCCCCATTTAAAGATGGAGAACAGGTCACAGCAATTAAGGCTGGTACTTTCAAAAAAGTATCCATTGATTTGGGTCACCTGGAGGTCCTTCTGGGTCTGATTTTTCAGAGGTGCTGAGCACCCACAAGACTCAATGAAGTCAGGGGGTATGTAGATGCTCAGCACCCCGGACAGTCTTGAGTTGTGCATCCAGGAACTGAGGTCTAAATGTTTTTGGCACCCTCTGTAATGTGTTTAGTAAGAATCATTTTGTTCAAGTGCATGACTTGTGACTTTATACCTTACAGCTGGTCAATACAGCAGCAGAACCTGTCCTACTGGAACAATTTATGGAGACCAAATGCTGAATAATAAATGCAGAGGATGAATGATTATAAATCCTTGACTCAGACATTATCCAAGCCGTTGGGCTCCAGCAGAGCTGTAATGATAAACCAGAGATTTTCCTAGAGAAAACAATTGCAACCTTCCCTAGCCCTTCCTTCCTACCCTCCCGAAAAGCCAATCTGGAGAAAAGGCAGACAAAACTCTTGGGATAGAAGCAGTATTTTTTATTAGACCAACTAAATAGTAGCAAAAACAAATTCTTTCTCTGCAAGTTTCTGGGCTCAAATGCCCTTCCTCAGGCGTAGGAGAATTCAAAGTTTGTAAAAGTTTTTCAAGGTAGAAATGAAACTTCATTTTGAGTTTATCTGGGGAAAACTAACTTGACTCAGTCTTTATTCAACCCAAGTGCTTGTCAACTGAGGATTTGCCAGTGTAGGACCTTCATTATTTAGCCTATACACTAAACTTCTATATAAATCAAGGATGTTATCTAAGTTAAACATGACAAACATAGACTCAGGAAGCATGTAGGCTCAATCAAGTAGCCTTAAAAAACACATTGTAGAAGCTCAACTGTTATTTTAGACTCTAACATCCTTCTTCTATTTTTTTAATCCCAGCAGAGCAATGAGAGCAAGATAAGGGTAGCTTTGTTGCAAGCAAAGGCAACACAGAGCCAGCTTTATCTCAAAATGTCCATGCAGATCCTGAAGTGGTGAGTTTATGGAGGAACAAACAGCACACTGTGACCCATCAGGCTGTAATGCTGCTTCTCTCCTTCCAACTTTATAGCTGTCCTGCAAACTCAGAGATAATAACAGCAACAATAATAATTGATGATGGTAATAATAGAAAGACAGAAAGAATCCATGCTTGTATCAGCAGTGGGGTTTTAAAAGCTGTTCATTAGTCTCTGCTCAATATCTAGTGTTAAGAGTAGACTGGGGTGCTACTAATAGCAATCGCATTGTTGAGAGTTCATAGTTGTTAAGGGCTTGAAAGGACCTTACTGATCATTGGGTCCAGCCCGGCTGCACTTGGGCAGGAAAGACGGCTGTTGCTTGAAGCTATTTTCCCTTTGAGGGGAGACGGGCAGGACATGGGTCTATAAATATTCCCCTTTGTAAGAATATACTGGGGCATGTTTTGTCACTACCCAGCGCTGGTTTTCAGCACTGCAACGCTCCCACCCTTCTTCAGGAGGGATTCATCTTTGAGGCAGGTTTGGGGCTTCTTTATTTTTTCCTTTGTAAAGAATCAGGATGATGAATTTTGCAGCCAGTCAGAAGAGCAGCTCTCCCGCTCCGCAGCTCCAAGTGCCAGGCACATGTCTGCTGCGATCATGTTTAGAGTGGAAGCCACAACAGGAGTTGTAATGAGCTTTTCCTTGAGAAAACAATGGCAAGCCCCCCGCCTCAAAAAAGAAGGCAATCTGGAGAAAACAAACTCCTGCCCTCTGCTTGCTTTTTTTTCCTTTCCCTTTTGCACCATGTGCTCCCGGCTGCCTCCCCTCCCCGCGCTCTCAGGCAGTCTGTTCGGGGCTGGACTGTGTCCAGGCTTGGGTTTTATTTTTTCAATGCACATTTCAGCTCCAGCTCCCCAAACTCTTTGATCTTTCTCTCTGTCTCCTTTACCCGGAAGAGAACCCTTGCCTGCTCAGCTGGGAGCTCGGAGCACACGTGGAAAGCCTGGCTCGGCTCCATGTTCTTGCCAAATTTAGTCACACAAAGGGGCCAGAAATGGGAGGAAAAAAATAAATAAAGAGGGAGAGAGAGAGGATGAAAGAGGCAGCCGGCGGGACATCAAAGGAAGCCGCCAGCCCGCCCCACATCCCGCCCTCGTGCTATATAAGGGGCGACTCCCGGCGGCGGGCTCTTCTCACGCGATGCCGGGCTAGACCCGGAGCTCCCCCCGGTCGCGTTCACACGCGTGCTCGGGGGATGGGGATCCCTTTCTTCCCACACATCTGCCGGCGCCTTACACGCGGCTTGCAAGGATGGAAAGCGCATGAGAGAGCTGTGTGCGGGGCGCCGGGCTGCGCCTGCACCTCAGTCCCAAACTTAGTCCTGCCAGACACGCCGCTCGGGGCTGGGGCTGGGGGTGGGGGGCAATAGTCCCGCCCTTCTGCTTATTGGCAATAGCCCGGGCGCGCCCTGCCTCTCCTCTCGCCCGCATTGTCGCTCGTGCTCACTTCTTCCCTCCTTTTCCTTCTCCTTCCCTTTCTTTCCTTCCTTTTTTTCTTTTCCTCCTTTCTGCTTTCCTTCTTTTCTTGTCCTCCTTTCCTTCCTTCCTTTCCTTCTTCTGTGGCAAGCCCCTTGCGGCCAGGGAGCCTTTTCGCAGTTCGCTCAGGCAAGGGGGTCGGACGCGATGACCTCTGGGGGTCCCTTCCAGCCCGGCTGCTCCGTACGATTCCTATGATTTACAGCCGCGGGTGGCTTCAGTCCGAGCCTGATGTCAGCCCTTGGCTAAACACGCGCTCACCCTCTCCACTGGTTTATCCCGTCCCAGGGGGGCTGGCTGGCTCCCGCAAGAGCGCTTCCCAATAGGATCCCCCCACCCCCCGCCCCGTCCCAAGAGGAGACTGAGCTTTGATGATCTGTGGCGCTAAAAATCCAGCCCTTTCCGATACAGTCCCAGTCACTCCGCCGCCGCCGCCCCGAGCACACGCACTGGGAGTCCAGGGGCTAGATCGGGTTACACCGCGGTTGATTTGTCAAACAATGAGCCTGCTCCTTCGGCTGGAAGAGCTCCTCGCACCAAATCCGCAGGAGCTGTGTGTGTGTGTGTGGGGGGGGGCAGGAATCGCACCTGTGTGTGGTGGGGCGGGAGGAAATCGCGCCCATGTGTATGTACCAGGAATCGCACCCGTGTGTGTGTGTAATCGCACGTGTGTGTCAGGGGAACTGCACCCGTGTGTGCGTGTGTGTGTGTGTGTGTGCGTGCGTGCGTGCGTGTGGAATCGCGTTTTTGTGTGTGTCGGGGGAATCGCACCCGTGTGTCTGTATGTGTGGAATCTCACGTGTGCGTGTGTGAATCGCACGTGTGTGTGTATCAGGGGAATCGCACCCGTGCGTGTGTGAGGGGAATCGCACCTGTGTGTGTGTAATCGCACGTGTGTGGGGGGGAATTGCACCCGTGTGTATAGCATGAATTGCACGTGTGCGCGCTCTCGCGCGCGTGTGTGTGTGCAGCAGGGGAAACGCACCCTTGTTTGTTCTGCGACAGATCCTCTTGGACCCCCCTGCCCCCTTGATCTGCCCTGTCGAAAGTTTCGCATCTTTCTGTGCTCTCGCCCCTTTATCCCACTTTTAAAAAAAAATATTACTGTGTTTACAAATGTCAGCCCCCGGTTTGGTTTCCGACCCACTGAAATGCCCCCCCAAATCCTGTGAACTGAAAGTAAACCGACAGCTTTGTGTTGTCTCCAGTCAAATCTGGCGTTGGAGTTGAGGTTTCCTGAGCTGATCCTCTTGTCATAAATCATTACGCCCCCCCCGCCGCGTGCTCTTTCTGCCTTCCAGTGCTCCCACCAAACACTGCTGGGGGGAGAGACCCCAGCCGCCACATAAAAGAGAGGAGGTGATGGGAGGAGGTTCTTAAAAAAATAAAAAGGACCCAACTTTTTTTCTCTTTAATTAAACACACTTGTTTATTTCTGTGCAGACTAATCCGGCGGGGAGCTGCTGCTCGGATCCCACCCCCCGGGCTATTAGAGCATCTCTGTACCACTGTAGGGATGGGTGCCTGCCTTGACTTCTTTCCAACAACAGCTTTGTTTGAATCTCAAACGGGGTCCCTTCCCAAAGGCAAAAAGTCTGCTCCCGGCGTGTGGGCGAGGATGGCACAGGGCTAGGACAGTCCAGCAAAACACCAGCGAATGCCTCCCTAATGGCTTTATTGGCGGGAGAAGATTAGCAGGGAAAGCGCCACGTGAAACGCGCACCCTGGGAAAAAAGAGAGAGAGCCTTCTCCCCCCACCCCCCGCTCTCCCCTGCCTGGGAAACAAGAACCGAATCCACTCAGATCCCGTCGGACCTGCAAAGGATTTCACTGGCCCACCCCTGCCCCCGATGTAACGCCAATTCCGATGGATTAGCTACGTGGGGGAGGGCAGGCGGATTGAAGCCCCACGTGCTAATCGGTGTGACAATTAGCAGAGTGTCTCCTCGCCCAAAATCACTGCTCAAGAGTTGAAATAGAAAGAATTGGAAAGGCTAAAGACAATGACAAAGAAGACAATGAAATAGAAAGGAAGAAAGACAATTTTTGAAAGACAATGAGATAGAAAGAATTGGAAAGGCTAAAGACTATATATATAATATGACACTATGATACTATGATAGAAAAAATCAGAAAGGTTCAAGACATAGTATATATATTGTCTTGAACATGTGTGTGTATGTATACATATTTATGTGTGTGCGCGTGTGTGTGTGTATATATATATGTCATGTATAATATGAAATAGAAAGAATTGGAAAGGCTAAATACATTATATATATAAATGCCATATGTATAATATGAAATAGAAAGTTGGAAAGACTACAGACATATATAGGCACATATATGTCTATAAAGGCTGTCTATAAAGTCTAAAGACATATATATGTCATATATACATGTAAGTCAGCTTTAT